CCCGGGTTGCGGGGAGGGGATACTGATGGCAGAGGAGCCATAGGCTCCTTCTGCCATCAATCAAAGAGGGAAGGGGCGTGGCCTGCCACAGGGCTGTGTGTGTGTCTATGGACGCACACAGCCACTGCGGGCACGAGCGGGGAGGAGAGTGCACGGGTGCCTCCAGTAGAACAATGGTGGCACCCGTGCAGGGTGAGGGGAGGGGGAAAGAGCCGCGGGGAGCCACTAGAAAACAAGGAAATATAAACTTTTAAAGAAAAAGAGCAACAGCCTCCAGCAAAGGAGGGTCTCCTTAAAGGAGAAAAAAAAATAGGCTTTAAAGGAGAACTATGGGGTCAGTGTTTTTCCCCATAGTTCTTCTAAGGGTCGCGGGAGGACACAAACTAGGGATGTGACTTAGCTTGGTGTAGGGTGATAATGCCCCCTTGGTGTGGAAGGGGCTCCTTTGATCACTTTGATCTAATTTTTTGTATGGCTCTGTACCTCTGGCTGAAAAACTATTCAAACTATATAGCGTCCTCCCGTCACCCAAAGCTCAGTATATAGGGAGCTACAGCTCGCGGTATACTGAGACGCCGCAACCGGAGCGGATCCCGACATGTCTGGATCCGCCCAGCTGCGTGAGTGACAGCTGGCTCCGCCTATCCAGAGGCAGAGCCAGCTGTACCCGCCCCCTCCCCTGTCCGTTCCTCGACTCAGCGCTGCAAGATCGGACAGGGGAGGAGGGGGGAATCACGGCAGAGAGCCGTGAGTGACAGTCACGGCTCTCTGCAGGGACAGGATCGAGAGGTGAGCGAACGGCGGTATGTGTTCTCTCACCTCCCGATCTATTGAGCCGACCTGTGACAGTCTCATTGTCACAGATCGGCTAGAACTATGAGGCCGAGTGACAATCACTCCCCTCATAGTTCTCCTTTAATATCACTTTAAGGATAGGGCTGTTTAAACTGCCTTGGCTGCGTATATCTGCCCCAGTTAAGCATTCACTGAGTTGGGGCATAAAGTCACAGCGGGTCCCAGTATTGCGGCAGATAAGCTCGGGCAGATCTGTCTCTGCTAATTCTGAGCTCTGCCTGTCGGTAACTATTCTATTTTTTTATTATTTTTTGTTTTTTCACAATGCGTGAAGCAGCATCGTCTGGAAATCCCAGTTTAACCTAATTTCTGTACGTTCTGCATTCATTAGAAGCAAGAGTGAGCGCATCACACTCCAAACTCTGACATGACAAGGGCATTGTATATGGCTCCTAGTGGTTCAATACCCAGAACACTCAACTCAGATATTAACCCCTTTGTGAAAGGATGACACTGGTCTTGGATTTTTAGTGGCCACAGCAGCCAATTTATTATTTTAGTACCAAAGCCAAAATTAACAATTTTGTAACCAATTAGCTGACCGCGGGAGTTAAGGTCCTTGACACGACATTTTTCACCACCAAAATACCCAGTATCTGCCCACACGGCCCCCAGCCGCCCAACACCGCCTCGGGGACTTGTAAACTAACATCAGATACTGAGTAACTAATGATGGACCCATTAAGACAGGGATGCCATACCAAAGACGGCTCCCCACTGTCACTTAAACCTCAGGAGAATATGTTGCACCTCAAGGACCCTAACACCCTGACCGGCTGCAGTGACAAGAAACATAAAAATAGATAGAAAAAGGACAAAGCGGCCACAGAGGTAGAAACGAGAAAAGAATGCAAAGGCAACAAGGCAAATATCGCAAACAGGGCGGGAGGGCAGGGACCTGTCTTCACCGAGACTGGAACTTTCCTTCCCTGGGGAGCCGCCTATACCCCACCTCACCGGACCCTGGCCAATCAGGTGAGCGACACTTAATGACCACCCCCTCCTTGAACGAGCAACTTAACCCTTGCCTACGTCTGCTGTTCCTGGCCTGACTGAACAGTACAATGACCATTCAGTTCTGCAGATTAATTATATTGAGGAAGTCTAGTGTTCAGGTGAACATCAGGCCACCTTTTCGGGATATCTTCTTTAAGCAGGGCCGGATTTCCCACAGGGCCAACCACGGCCCGGCCTCGGGGCAGCAGGGAGTAGAGGGGCAGCAGGGAGTAGAGGGGCAGCAGGGAGCAGAGGGGCAGCAGGGAGTAGAGGGGCAGCAGGGAGCAGAGGGGCAGCAGGGTGTGGAATTCCTATCTCCCAATGCCCGGGACACGCAGTTCCGGGCGCCGGGCGGGTAATTGTTTTCGACATTTAGCCCGGCTTTGGACAAGCAGAGCTAAATGTACAGCAGGGGAGCCGCCGCTTGTTTTGTACAGGTCTGCCATTCTACATGGTGGTGGGGGGGTTGGCAGGTAGGGGGGCGCATTGAGGAACCTGGCCTTGGGGCAGCAGAGAGACTAAATCCGGCCCTGCCTTTAAGTAAGGAAACTTGAGCACCCAGAAGAAGATCCATGTTTCCCCGAATAATCTGGCCACTCGGTGTATATAATAATCCGGCCACTCGGGGTATATAATAATCCGGCCACTCGGTGTATATAATAATCTGGCCACTCGGTGTATATAATAGTCCGGCCACTCGGTGTATATAATAATCTGGCCACTCGGTGTATATAATAGTCCGGCCACTCGGTGTATATAATAATCTGGCCACTCGGTG